GTTTGATGGGGGTACAGTGTAGAGGGAGCTTTACTCTGTATCTAACCCTGTGCTGTCCCTGTCCCTGGGAGTGTTTGATGGGGGGACAGTGTAGAGGGAGCTTTACTCTGTCTCTAACCCCGTGCTGTCCCTGTCCCTGGGAGTGTTTGATGGGGAACCGTGTAGAAGGAGCTTTACTCTGTATCTAACCCCGTGCTGTACCCTGTCCCTGGGAGTGTTTGATGGGGGGGACAGTGTGGAGGGAGCTTTACTCTGTATCTAACCCTGTGCTGTCCCTATGTACATACCTGGAGTTCCTGATCCCATGTGTGAACTTGTGGTCGTCCCTCACTGTCAGGTTATACGTTGATGGTGGTCCATCCAACCTCAGGGTGAATGTTACATTAAATTCCTCTCCAGATCTCACAACCTCCTGGTCCTGGGCCTGTTTTGTGCGACACAGAGATCTGGATGGTCAGGGAATTGGATATTTCCCTGTGCCTTTCCTCTACAAGGCCCCTGCCCCCCTGCCCCCCTGCCCCTTCCATTGCGGCTCTAAGGCACCTGTCGAGCGGGAGAGGGAAGAGAGATGGAGAGCGAGAGATGGGTCTCACTCAGCATTCTCCGTCTCCACATGTTTTCCCGTCGAAAACATCGGCACAGTCTCTTCGTCAAGGCCTTTCTACAGACCTGCTTAATTGGTTTGCCAGGATCAAGGGTAAGGCCACTCAGCCCATTGAACCTGCATCGTCATTTAATCATGTCCCCATCCAGATGCCTTTTAAATGTTGTAATTGTACCAGCCCCCACCACTTCCTCTGGCAGCTCGTTCTATACACACACCACCCTCTGTGTGAAAAAGTTACCCCTCAGGTCCCTTTTAAATCTTTCCCTTCTCACCTTAAACCTATGCCCCTCTAGTTTTGGACTCCCCTACCCTGGGGAAAAGACCTTGTCGATTCCCCCTATCCATGCCCCTCATGATTTTATAAACCTCTATAAGGTCGCCCCTCAGCCTCCGATGCTCCAGGGAAAATAGCCCCAGCCTATTCAGCCTCTCCCTGTAGCTCAAACCCTCCAACCCTGACAACATCCTTGTAAATCTTTTCTGAACCCTTTCAAGTTTCACAACATCCTTCCTGTAGCAGGGAGACCAGAATTGAACACAGTATTCCAAAAGTGGCCCTAACCAATGTCCTGTACAGCCCCAACATGACCCTCCCAACTCCTATACCCAATGCACAGACCAGTAAAGGCGAGCGTACCAAACACCTTCTTCACCGCCCTGTCTACCTGCGACTCCACTTTCAAGGAACTATGAACCTGCCCCCCAAGGTCTCTTTGTTCAGCAACACTCCCCAGGACCTTACCATTAAGTGTATAAGTCCTGCCCTGATGTGCCTTTCCAAAATGCAGCACCTCACATTTATCTAAATTAAACCCCATCTGACACTCCTCGGCCCATTGGCCCATCTGATCGAGATCCTGTTGTACTCTGAGGTAAACTTCTTCACCGTCCACTACAACCTCCAATATTGGTGTCATCTGCAAACTTACTGACCATAACCTCCTGTGTTCACATCCAGATCATTTATATAAATGATGAAAAGCAGTGGACCCAGGACCGATCCCTGTGGCACACCGCTGGTCACAGGCCTCCAGTCTGAAACACAACCGTCCACCCCCACCCTCTGTCTCCTACCTTCGAGCGAGTTCTGTATCCTCTTGGCCAGCTCTCGCTGGGTTCCAGCCCTGTTGGAATGAATGCTTACGCTGCATTTGCCTGCCTAAACCCCAGCTCAGTTTGCATGTGAACCGTCCCAAACTGCTGATGACAGTAAGAAACACACCGTAATTTTCAAGGAGGAGCTGGAGATCATTGTGGGTGACAGCCTTTGGAACACAGCGCCCGTTCCGTCCTGTCCTCGCAATAACACAAAGAACTGCTCCTTCGGGATCTCCGCAATATCCACCAGGTAGCTCTCAGCCGACGCTGCCATGTTCCAGAAGGTTCCGTTCACCAACACGACGCCCCAATCATCGACCAGGAGCAGCTCAGTGATGGTGGAGTTTGGGAAGAGGCTGAGGCCGGTGACGGTGACCATGAGGGTGGCGTTCCGTCCTGCGGGGGAGGGGGATAGGAGAGAGAAGGTGCAGAATGGTCACGGGGGGATGGGGGAGTCACGGAGAGAGACCTCAGACACGGGCTCACATGGAGAATTCACTCCGAATCAAACCCCGGGCTGTCCCTGTCCCGGGAGAGGAGGACCCCGTACCCCAGTGAGGGTCACTGTGTCTGTGCGTCTGTGTTTGTGTGTGTGTGTATGTGTGTCAGAATGTGTGTGTGTATGTGTGTTTGTGTGTGGGTGAGTGTGTGTGTGTGAGTGTGTGTGTGTGGGTGAGTATGTGTGTGTGAGTGTGTGTGTGTGGGTGAGTATGTGTGTGTGGGTGTGTGTGTGTGGGTGTGTGTGTGTGGGTGAGTGTGTGTGTGTGTGTGTGAGTGTGTGTGTGAG